GAAAAGAAAAGAAAAGAAAAAAAAACAAAAGAAAAAGAAAAAAGAAAGAAAGGAAAAAATAACAAAAGAAGAAAAGAATCCTTCGATTGAATTTGTAATACTCACCACCCACCACGAACTCCATAAAGTTACGGTGAATTAATACTTGCCGAAGGTGAAAATGCAGTTCGATGGCGATACATTGAACGACGCTAGAACGCGAGATTTTCTCAAGGTCACGAGCCATGACGCCCAAACGAAAACCTGTTCTACGAGAATCGGAAAATTGTCTTCTCTTTCGATTGCGATCGTGATTACGATCGACAAGTTCAACATGTCCGATCTCGAACAAGATTCACAAATTTAATGGTTTATAAAGGGACGATGAACGGATAAATAAAAAATAAAAATAAAACTAAAGCTAAAAATAATGATAAAAATAATGATAAAAGTAAGAAAATGTTGGGATGAAAGAAAAGTGATAGCAATCGTACGATTTACTTTCCAAGCAGTTTAAACGATCAATCGAATAATAGTTGTTTGCATAAAGAAGTAGGTAAGTACAACCGACACGTAACGATCGCGAAATTACACGCAATTACTCGAGTTAATACGAGGAGGGTTAAAAGGCTTGCTGCTTCCTAAGAGGCACGCGCACCTCGCGCGAGAAAGGGACAGCGTTAATGTAATTATTCGCACCGTCGACAAAGTAACGTCCCCCTTAATGGAGATTTAAATCATCGAAACGAGCGGACTACGCTCGTTCAGAGGATCATAAAAGAAACGGGAATACGACCGTCCTTACATCTATCTAACGAGACTAACTCTCGTTTCGTGAAGAAATGAGACGAAGAGGAACAAACAAAAAATAAAAGAAAAAAAAAAAGAAAGAAAAAGAAAAGAAAAAAGAAAAGAAAGGAAAACAAAATAATTTTTTTGTAAGTATTTAGAGTTTGTCTTTTCTCTCTCTCTCTCTCTCTCTCTCTCTCTCTCTCTCTCTCTCTCTATCTATCTATCTATCTATCTATCTATCTATCTATCTATCTCATTCTCTTTTTCTCTGTTTTTTCTTTTTCCAACGATCGAACGATGCCAAGAAGAAATACGATTCTGCTTACTAAAATCGATTACGAGCAGGTGCATTGCATGTTCGGCAGCAGAAAACGAATATGGCTGTTCGAGAAAACACGATGATACTTGCTACGCGTCCTCGTAAATCAACGTTATTTGCTGAACGCAAGTTGAAAGAGATCTTTGAAAAATTTTACATCGATTTACAAGCGTACATATGTATATATACACATATATATGTGTGCGTGCATATATATATTATGCATATACATATATATACATACGACTATTTTAGTTTCAATCATTACTCGAATGGACATCAGTAAAAGAGCAATTTTTTTTCTTTTTTTTTATTTCTCTTTTTTTCTCTCTTTCTTTTTTTTTGCATTCGAAACACCAGAATGCGTTCAAATAATCGTCGTATTCGCTCTGAAATAAATCGATGCACCCAGCCAAGTCTTTTGCTCTCTCTCTCTCCCTCTCTCTCTCTCTCTCTCTTTTATGAGAATATTTATGGACGCGACGACAATGTATTGGATTGCACCGAAAACTGGTAACGATTTTTTAATGAAAATACAGTGGCAACAAAAATGTTTCCATATCTATGTATGCAGAATACGTTCTATAATTTTATACAATCATTTTCTTTATGTTCTCGTTTTTGCGACGTTCAAAAATATACTACTCTTTTTAAGAATATCCATTTGACATTTATTGAATATCATTAGCAACTTTTCGAACAAGCCGATAACATAATGACGAGTTGTTATAAGCGTTTAAACGCGTTTTTATAATAAAAATCAAAGAGTAAAATAGCATATATTAAACGAAATGAAACGAGCAACGAAGTTCACCGTCTCTTCTTAAGTATCTTACGTCCGGTTTTAAGCGTTTCGCGCCAGAAAATTTTAAATTGTATCGATGTAATTCGCGAACTTTATCGCTCTTACAATCGTTAACGTAACGCGTTTGTTATATTTTTATATAAGTCTCATTATCGTAAAAATCTCTCTCTCTTTCTCTCTCTCTCTCTCTCTCTCTCTCTCTCTCTCTCTCTCTCTCTCTCTCTCTCTCTCTCTCTCTCTCTCTCTCTCTCTCTCTCACTGTTTCTCTCTTTCTCTCTCTTTTTTTTATCTCTATCACAATCTAAAAGAACTTCGATATATACATATATATATATATATATATATATATATATATATACATATATATATATATATCAAGTATATATATATACATATATTTTCCATGCATAGAATAAACGTTAACGCAATTCCGATCGATTTATTTAATTATCGTACATGCTTCGAGATAATCGATTTATCAGGTGACTCGATAAAAGCTCGTAATTAACGCGCGTTCTTCGATCTACGAAGGAAAATGAGTTTGCTCGGCGAAGCGTAAAAATTTGTTCGCCGAATGATTCTTGAAAATCAATTTTCTTTTTTAT